CACCCTGGTAATGATCTCCTACAACCTCTTCTGTCAAGCAGGAGATACAGAAGTCTGAACACATGCAGAAGCAGGTTCAGGACCAGCTTCTTTCTGGCCCTTATCAGACTGTTGAATAGACTCTTGCCTCAAAAAACGTAACCTGCCATATAACCCGTGTGCCTCTAAGTCCTTTTAATCTGTACATCCTTTGCTTGCTGTGATCTACCTGTATCACTTGTAAACAAAACTTTTCTCTGTATTTCGGTGCACAGGACAATCAATTGGTCAATCAATCAATTTACGAGCTGCAAGATCCCATTAGCAGCAATGCAATACTGATCACATAATCTATCCTTATGATGTTGATTGAGGGATTACTATTGGCCAGGATTCTAGCGATAAACCCAATTGAAATGGAGCCACGGTATATTTTATGTCCATTTAAGAAAGCAGGTAGAGTCTCAGTTTAATTCTTATTGAATGACCTCTGACAGTACAGGATTACAATGGACCATCAGCCAAGATTGTTGTGCTCAAGGCCCACCCCACAAGCATCTGACTCAGTGGTAAGTACCATCAACTGAGTCATACTGACACACAAATAGGATTCCCAATTATGAAACTGGAAAAATATGAGGGAAGTATATGAAAAAAAAACATCAGGAGATCTCAGCACTTCTCAATGAATTGTAGTATGGGTCCCTTTACGATCTAGCAATGTGAATGTATCAAAATGATAGTGGTTCTTATAATGCAGCATTCCCTCAGCATTATACTATGGCTTCAGAGTAAATAACATTCTCAAATCCTTGAGTAGGGTTTAAAAGCACAAGTTTTAGATATGAGCTATCAACTAAACCAAAATACTACAAATGCACCCTAGAACAATGAAGGGGGAATAACTTACATAAAATCTTAGTCCCAACCTCAGAAGGGCAGTTTCAAGGAAATTCAGTGATTATGCTGTTCTAAATGGTTTCTATTCTGTAAGAGTTAATTAAACTGTAAGAGTTAAATAGGGATTTCTATGCTTACAGTAAAATTTTAAAAAACAGACTTCTCCAGACAAACCTTATACATTATAAAGGCTATGAACAGTGGGAATCTTCCAGAAAGGCCTTGGGAACCATATAGGAATAGCATGTTAGGAGACAGAGGAAGGGAGTTGGGAGAACAGAATAAACGGAAAAGGATTGAAGCAAACAATACCAGATACAGCCAAGCAAGGACACAATTATGTGGTCCCCGACTGGGTAAATAAGATATCAACCTGGGCCTAGCATATACAGCAGTTTCTTATGTTCATATGAAAAAGATTGGAATTTGAATAATGAGATGTCTACCTGACTCAAAATGATATGAAAGATACTGCAATTTCCTATATTCCTTCAAGTTATTCTAGAGTATACATCCATACAAAGTAAAAACAAAAATACTGCAGAGACTAGAAATCTTACATAAAAACAAAGTGCTGGAGAAAGCCAGCAGGTCTGTCAGCATCTGTGGAGAGAGTGAAACAATGTCCTCATTGTGTGTTTTACTGTCCCAGCTGTGATCAAGACACTTGTATTTCAGTGATTTAAATAATGAAAAGAAAAGGGAGCTTCCTCACTCCACAACTCTTGGTAATTGTATTTATTTAAATTGAAGAGAGAAATCTACCTGCACCAGTAATGGAAAATTGCTGAACTAGCAGCAAGGTAAAAGAATTGAGACTGAAACAGGCATCTTTGTCTAACCTTGCAAAGTGTAATGGAGAAGCATGGAAGCAATCAACTTTACCCCAAAAACGTGCTGTGAATATTCAGTGAGATGATGCCATCTCCACCAAGGCTGCCAGAACTGCGGAGTTTCTCCAGCACTTCCTGTTTTACAGATATTTTAAACAACCTGTTCAGATGTGTGATGACACATTTCTGGAGCCTGTGGTACCTGAACATGGACCTTTTGGCTCAGAGGTAGGGGCACTACCACAAGAGCCCCCACCTTCTGTTTCATATTAGTGTATACTCTCCCTGCATTTACTTAAATAAAAGATTGTAAACCTGTGTTTGGACCCCACTCGTTGATTTTTAGCGGTTAACACAACAATTATTTCTGTTGCTTTCAGGAACTCAGTAAATAGTCATTTCATGGTCTATCAGCTGTGTTTTCCATTATGTTCTATCCCTTCTACACAGCATGTTATTTTTACCCTATCAGGTGAACATTTAAACCACTCCAATAAATTCCAATCTTCTGCTCGTAAAATAAACTAGTTAATGTCTTCATTATGATTGCAGCTTGAATTATGCAATAGTTTAATTTATAATGAACTCCTTGCATTGTGTTTTGCAAATGTCAAACTACTTGCACATTTTAAGCAATGAGCCACCAGTGAAAATGTTTGAAGTTATTTTAGAATTCGAGTTACGGTTTTCATCTCCCATGACAGGCATTCTACTGATTTTCTTCTTTGCGCAAGACTGCCATTTGATGATGCATTAAAGCAGGATTGTATAACCTTTAGGAGCAGAGGGCAGAGAGTGCTATAAACAGACCGGAATTTAATTATTTGCTAGTCTTGTAGAATTAATTAAACAACATATTATGTTTGAAAGAGACGTAATTCATTCTGAAGCAAAGTGTTAAATTTGAATAAGGGAAATAATTATGAAGACGAGACACAAATTGGCTGAGGTGGATTCGGAAAGTGCATCAAAAAGCATCTCTGAACATAGTTATTTGAAGCCTTATTACAAGACTTACAGCAACTATACATTCCTTCAAGGCGCAAAATGTCAACAAAAAGGGTCAGTGAATCTAGCTAACAAAGGAAGTTCAGCATTGTATGAAACTAAAAGAGATGGCCTATAAAGTTGCCAACCACAGCAGTAATTCTAACGATTGGGAGTTTTATAGAATATAGCAAAGGAGGACCAAAGAACTAGTGAGGAAAGGGAGAGTAGAAATATGAATGCAACAGAGCAAAAAACATAAACATGGACTGTAAAAGCTTTTTACAGATATGTTACAAGAAAATATTTGGCTAAAACAAATGTGGATCCATTATAAATGGGAATAGAGAAATGACAGAGAAGCTAATGATTACTTTCTTCTATTTTTACTGAGTAAGATAGCACCTGATCCAAGTGGCTAGTGAGAATGAGGAGAATTAGCATTAGTAGGAAAATCATACTGGAGAAATTAATGGAACTGGAAGTTGTTAAATCACCAGGACCTGATGGTCTACATCCCAGAAAGTTGAAGGGGCTAGTTATAGAGATAGTCAATGCAATGATGATTATCTTCCAAAATTCTACACATTGTGGAATGATTCCTGCGGATTGAAAGCTAGTGAATGTCAACCCCACTATTCAAGAAGGGAAAAAGAGAGAAAACAGGGAACGAGAGATTTGTTAGCCAGTTTTGCCATCTTTGAACCTTCCTCAAAAATAGACATAATACTACCGCACAGGATGAGAAACAAAAATTTATTGGAATTTGTTTTAACAGCTTCTTGTAATGGAAACAAACTATTAACCTCCCAAATTCTCAAACTCAAGCTGTTCAGAAAACACATTCTAATCAAATGACTTGAATTTACGAAGTTTTAAATTGTAACTAAACTTTAGAAAGAACTGAAACACAAAGCTGCTATACTGGAAACTGAATGGTGCATTTACAATAAACACTTGAGTACATAAGATTAAAGGGTGATCTACTCAAGATAATTAAAACACTAAGAAGGGGTTAAAAGAGAAAATGGAGAAACAATCATTTTTAGTGCAAGAAGCCAGAACAATAAGACGTAACTTTTGAATTAGAGCTTGTTCATTTAGGGCTGATGCCAGGAAAGCTGAAACTTTGACCTCCAAAACTTACTGATACTCAGCCAATCAAAAATTTCAAATTGGAGATTGGTAAATGCTAATTAGACAAGAATATTAAGGATTGCAGAAAGAAGGCAGGTAGATGGAGTTAAGCTACAGATCAGCCATATTCCAATTTTATGGAGACTGGAGGGCTGAATAATCTATTACTGTTTGGGGACCGCTTTGTGGAACACCTACGCTCGGTTCGCAACAAACAACTGCACCTCCCAGTCGTGAACCATTTCAATTCCCCCTCCCACTCCTCAGACGACATGTCCATCCTGGGTCTCCTGTAGTGCCACAACGATGCCACCCGAAGGTTGCAGGAACAGCACCTCATATTCCGCTTGGGAAACCTGCGGCCCAATGGTATCAATGTGGACTTCACAACCTTCAAAATCTCCCATCCCCTGACCACATCCCAAAACCAGCTCAGCTTGTCCCTGCCTCCCTAACCTGTCCTTCCTCCCACCTATCCCCTCCTCCCACCTCAAGCCCCCCCCCCATCTCCTACTTACTAGCCTCATCCCCCCCCCTTCACCTGTCCATCCTCCCTGGACTCCCCCCCCTGCCAACTCCACACCTACACTCACCTTTACTGGCTCCACCCCCGCCTCTTTGACCTGTCTGTCTCCTCTCCACCTATCTTCTCCTTTATCCATCTTCGATCCACCTCCCCCTCTCTCCCTATTTATTTCAGAACCCCCTTCCCCTCCCCCATTTCTGAAGAAGGGTCTAGGCCCGAAACATCAGCCTTCCTGCTCCTCTGATGCTGCTTGGCCTTCTGTGTTCATCGAGCTCTACACCTAGTTATCTCTATTACTGTTCCTGTTTTAATTTTAAAAAATATAGAAAGATCAGTGTGGACACATTTAATTTCTAATGTTAAACATTGCTTTCATTGCTTCTTATTTGGTTTTTGAAGATTTACTTGTGGTGTATAAATCTCACAAAAATAACAACTTGCAAACATTTCAGTTAGTATGCTGCAGATTCCTGATTACAGCATATATTTTCAATCATTCAAAGCTACATAAAATGTTTGCTTCTGTCCTGATTATCCTAATCCAAGCACAACATTTATTTTAATAGCCATACTTTCATCAGGATTCACACGGAGTGATATGAGTCAATCTTTTACATACATATTTTCTTTAAACTTACCTTTGTTCCCACTGTCCTCTCCCCATGAATTTTCCACTCTCCACTTTTCAAATCCGGCTTCGTTTCCAACCTGTGTGCCAAACTATACAATAACAGAATGTCAACAAAGATTCTGGTTATAATATTCAATGTATATTAATTTAATGAATAATATTTTGGGGGATAGTGTAATGCAGTAGCCTTTCTCCACAAACTGTAGAGTATTCTAAATTAAAAACAACTGGGCAAATAGATTTTGGGGTGCTTGGCTCTCAAGTGCTTTCTAGTTGAGACAGCAATCCACATTCATTCCAGACTGATACCATCTGGTGTCCCTGTGGCTATATTAGCAACAACAACAAGCATAATTTTATGAGTGATTGAGTTTTAAATCCTACTTAGATTTTGCTTTCTCTACATTAAAAACAAATCTAATTTCATATGATTTTTCCAAAATTATGATTTTTTTTCCCTCTCAAATCTCCTATTTTAATATCAGCATCATTTTCATTTTGGATTGCATTGGGACTATCAAGCTTTATAAGCCAACTCTGCAACTTAAACTACACTTTCACAACACAATTGGTCTGGCTTCAATCTCAAATTACAAGGTCTAATGTTTAAATTAATTTTCCAAGATGAATTGTGGCCAAATGCTTGTAGGGGGCAGTGGAGAATGTTTTAAGACAGTTGACAGTGTTGGAAAGAAGTTACAGATTAATTGAAGTGAGTTTTGACTCCAACATGGTATTATACCTGATGCGACAATGCTTGTTATCTTCCTAGCATAAGAAACTAGAGGTGGTTATCATGATTTTGAACAATCCAAAAGACATTTATTACAGCTGGCTATTATAAACAGACATTACATTCACATGCACGTAAGTGTTAGGTTAATGTTAAAACTATTAGAATAGAAAAAATGAACATTCTCCAAGTGAACCCACAGTGAAATGGAGTATGCGATTTTTCTGACTTCAGATCACATGCAGTGATGATATCTTTAGCATGCCTCCTGACATATTGGCTATGAGATGTAACATAACAATAATGAGTGGTTATGACAGGGAGAAAAAGGATCCAATTGTGCTTAGTAAGGTCAATGATTAAACCAATTGTATGACACAAGTGTTCAAATCTGCATGTTGTGGATTGGAGGAAAAAAAATTGATGGCCTATGGAAGGGAATGACGAGGGTAGGTCTCAGTAAGATGACTAATAATTTTTTTTGTGCAACAAAATGTCCCTGAATCCACAGCTGTTTACTTAATTAAATTTATAAAGTCTATTTGACAATTAGCCAGATGGTCACTAACTACTGACGTAGATAATTTCTGGTAAAATTCAGCCCATGTGTCAACTTTGGCAAGTTTCATGGAGGGTTTTCTCTGTGAGCTCCAACTAGTTTGTCTGTGCTATCTTTTTAAACTTGCCTCATTACCCATGTACACTCCTATGATGCCCTAGTTGTCATATTTTCCCACTCATTTCAGGCAGAAGTACGGCCCACTGCCAAAATCTCCGTGGATTCCTGGCACTGGCACCCTCTTGAAAGCCCAGTCACACACCCAGTCAAGCGCTGGTAGTATGCAGCTGCCCTGCACGGTTCCTATCAATTGTTCCAGACATGTTGGTGCATAGTGAAATTAGCATCCCTCTTTACTGACCTGGAGACCTTAAGAGTTGCTGCCCATGGAGCATGCTTTGAGATCTTGTCAGTGACGGAGGTCAGTAGGAGTAACAGATGAACTGGAGTCACCAGTTACTGCTCTAACTTGCATTTTGGGAATTGTCACCATCTAATTTCCACATGACAGGTGGGAAACTACATCTGAATATACCTCTCGCTGCTCACTTGTCAGAATCTTGACTCACCGCTTACCCTTTGGTTGGAAAATGGGACTTTTTGCTTTTGGTGTTGGGAAGCTCCTCTCTGACTAATGAGGAGAACTGCATTCTTTCTTCAAATATTTCAACCAGCCATTTCAGATGACAATTGCAATTCATTGCCTTGAATATATTTACGACGAGGCCAGTTGGTACATTAAGTCTGTGTTGGACTTCATTTCTTTTTAATAGTGTAAGCCAATTGAAAATGTGGTGATTTCGTTTAGTTAGTGGTGCCAACATGAACAGGCAGACCTCATTTAGAACATAAAACATTACAGCGCGGTACAGGCCCTTCGGCCCTCGATGTTGCACCGACCTGTGAAACCAATCTGAAGCCCATCTAACCTACACTATTCCATTATCATCCATATGTTTATCCAATGACCATTTAAATGCCCTTAAAGTTGGCGAGTCTACTACTGTTGCAGGCCGGGCATTCCACCCCCTTACTATTCTCTGAGTAAAGAACTTACCTCTGACATCTGTCCTATATCTATCACCCCTCAATTTAAAGCTATGTCCCCTCGTGCTAGCCATCACCATCCAAGGAAAAAGGCTGTCATTGTCCACCCTATCTAATCCTCTGATCATCTTGTATGTCTCTATCAAGTCACCTCTTAACCTTCTTCTCTCTAACGAAAACAGCCTCAAGTCCCTCAGCCTTTCCTCATAAGACCTTCCCTCCATACCAGGCAACATCCTGATAAATCTCCTCTGCACCCTTTCCAATGCTTTCACATCCTTCCTATAATGCGGTGACCAGAACTGTACGCAATACTCCAAGTGAGGCCACACCAGAGTTTTGTACAGCTGCAACATGACCTCATGGCTCCGAAACTCAATCCCTCTACCAATAAAACCTAACACACCGTACGCCTTCTTAACAACGCTATCAACCTGGGTGGCAACTTTCAGTGATCTATGCACATGGACACCGAGATCTCTCTGCTCATCCATACTATCAAGAATCTTACCATTAGCCCAGTACTCTGTATTCCTGTTACTCCTT